GACACAAAGGGGACACGGGGGCTGCCCCCCAAGTGTGCGGGGGGCAGTTACACCCTGCAGATGCCCTATAGGTGCCACCAACACCCCATAGGTGCCCTATAGGTCCCGCCAGCACCCCGTGAGGGTCACCTGAGTGCCCTATAGATCCCCCCACCGCCCTACAAGTACCACAGAGTGCCCTATAGGTCCCGTGGGTGCCCCATAGGTGCCACCAACACCCTGGGAGTGCCATATAGGTGCCCTATAGGTGCCATGAATACCATATAGGTGCCCTATAGGTGCCACGAACACCCTGCAAATACCGTGTAGGTGCCCTATAGGTCCCGTGAATGCCATATAGGTGCCCTATAGGTGCCACAAGCACCCTGCAAATACCATGAAGGTGCCCTATACGTCCCTGTGAATACCTTAGAGGTGCCCTATAGGTCCTGTGAATACCATGTAGGTGCCCTATAGGTGCCACAAACACCCTGTGAGTGCTTGTGGCACCTATAGGTGCCTTATAGGTCCTGTGAATGCCATATAGGTGCCCTATAGGTCCCACAAACACCCTGCAAATACCGTGTAGGTGCTCTATATGTCCCTCTGAATACCCTATAGGTGCCCTATAGGTCCCATGAATATCATGTAGGTGCCCTATAGGTGCCTTATAGGTCCCATGAATGCCATATAGATGCCCTATAGGTGCCACAAACACCCTGCAAATACCGTGTAGGTGCCCTATAGGTCCTGTGAATACCCTATAGGTGCCCTATAGGTCCCACAAACACACTGGGAATACCATATAGGTGTCCTATACGTAACACAAGCACCCTGTGAGTCCCATATAGGTGCCCTATAGGTCCTGTGAATACCATGTAGGTGCCCTATAGGTGCCACAAGCACCCTGCAAATACCATGAAGGTGCCCTATACGTCCCTGTGAATACCTTAGAGGTGCCCTATAGGTCCTGTGAATACCATGTAGGTGCCCTATAGGTGCCACAAACACCCTGTGAGTGCTTGTGGCACCTATAGGTGCCTTATAGGTCCTGTGAATGCCATATAGGTGCCCTATAGGTGCCACAAACACCCTGCAAATACCGTGTAGGTGCTCTATATGTCCCTCTGAATACCCTATAGGTGCCCTATAGGTCCCATGAATATCATGTAGGTGCCCTATAGGTGCCTTATAGGTCCCATGAATGCCATATAGATGCCCTATAGGTGCCACAAACACCCTGCAAATACCGTGTAGGTGCCCTATAGGTCCTGTGAATACCCTATAGGTGCCCTATAGGTCCCACAAACACACTGGGAATACCATATAGGTGTCCTATACGTAACACAAGCACCCTGTGAGTCCCATATAGGTGCCCTATAGGTCCTGTGAATACCATGTAGGTGCCCTATAGGTGCCATGAACACCCTGTAAATCCCATGAAGGTGCTCTATACGTCCCTGTGAATACCTTAGAGGTGCCCTATAGGTCCCGTGAATGCCATGTAGGTGCCCTATAGGTCCCACCAACACCCCATGAGGGTCACCCAAGTGCCCTATAGGTCCCATGAATGCCATTTAGGTGCCCTATAGGTGTCACGAACACTCACAGGGTGTTTGTGAATGTTTGTGGCACCTATAGGTACCCTATAGGTCCCGTGAATGCCATATAGGTACCCTATAGGTCCCGTGAATGCCATATAGGTGCCCTATAGGTGCCACAAACACCCTGCAAATACCGTGTAGGTGCTCTGTATGTCCCTCTGAATACCCAATAGGTGCCCTATAGGTCCCATGAATATCATGTAGGTGCCCTATAGGTGCCTTATAGGTCCCATGAATGCCATATAGATGCCCTATAGGTGCCACAAACACCCTGCAAATACCGTGTAGGTGCCCTATAGGTCCTGTGAATACCCTATAGGTGCCCTATAGGTCCCACAAACACACTGGGAATACCATATAGGTGTCCTATATGTAACACAAGCACCCTGTGAGTCCCATATAGGTGCCCTATAGGTCCTGTGAATGCCATGTAGGTGCCCTATAGGTGCCACGAACACCCTGCAAATACCATGTAGGTGCTCTATACGTCCCTGTGAATACCTTAGAGGTGCCCTATAGGTCCCGTGAATACCATGTAGGTGCCCTATAGGTGCCACAAACACCCTGTGAGTGCTTGTGGCACCTATAGGTGCCTTATAGGTCCTGTGAATGCCATATAGGTGCCCTATAGGTCCCATGAATACTATATAGGTGCCCTATAGGTGCCACAAACACCCTGCAAATCCCATATAGGTGCTCTATACGTCCCTGTGAATACCTTAGAGGTGCCCTATAGGTCCCATGAGTATCATGTAGGTGCCCTATAGGTGCCGTGAATGCCATATAGGTGCCCTATAGGTGCCACAAACACCCTGCAAATACCATGTAGGTGCCCTATAGGTCCCGTGAATACCATGTAGGTGCCCTATAGGTGCCATGAACACCCTGTGAGTACCATGTAGGTGCTCTATACGTCCCTGTGAATACCCTATAGGTGCCATGAATACCATGTAGGTGCCCTATAGGTGCCACAAACACCCTGCAAATCCCATGAAGGTGCTCTATATGACCCTCTGAATACCCTATAGGTGCCCTATAGGTCCCATGAATATCATGTATGTTTCCTTCCTCCCTCCCTCCCTCCCTCCCTCCCTTCCCTTCCCTTCCTTCCTTTGCCGGGACACTGGGCCGTACTGGGGGGCACTGGGCCGTACTGGGGGGCACTGGGCCGTACTGGGGGGCACTGGGCTGTACTGGGGGGCACTGGGCCGTACTGGGAGTGACAGTTCGGCCGGAGCCGGCTGTGCGGGGAGAAGCCGCTAGAGAGAGGCAGAGAGCTGCGGGCACGCACCGCACCGACCCGCACGCACCGCACCGACCCGCACGCACCGCACCGACCCGCACACACCGCACCGACCCGCACCGACCCGGCCCCGCACCGACCCGCACACACCGCACGGACCCGCACCGACCCGGCCCCGCACCGACCCGCACGGACCCGCACACACCCGGCCCCGCACACACCCGCACACACACACCCGCACCCACCCGCAACCGGGACTGGGATCCTGTGGAAATTGGGACGTGGGAGATTGAGGAGCACAGGGCTGGGGTGTGCGGGACTGGGATGCTCTGGAATTGGGATGCTCTGGGACTGGGATGCTCTGGGACTGGGATGTGCGGGACTGGGATACTCTGGAACTGGGATGCTCTGGAATTGGGATGCTCTGGAACTGGGATACCCTGGAACTGGGATGCTCTGGAACTGGGATGCTCTGGGACTGGAATACACTGGAACTGGGATGTTCTGGGACTGGAATACACTGGAACTGGGATGCTCTGGAATTGGAATACTCTGGAACTGGGATGTACTGGAACTGGGATGCTCTGGAACTGGGATGCTGTGGGACTGGGATATTCTGGAATTGGGATGCTCTGGAATTGGGATGCTGTGGGACTGGGATACAGTGGGACTGGGATGCTCTGGAACTGGGATACACTGGAATTGGGATACACTGGGACTAGGATACTCTGGGACTTGGGAACTGTGGGACTGGGATGCTCTGGAATTGGGATGCTGTGGGACTGGGATACACTGGAACTGGGATGCTCTGGAATTGGGATACACTGGAACTGGGATGCTCTGGAACTGGGATGCTCTGGAATTGGGATACACTGGAACTGGAATACACTGGGACTGGGATGCTCTGGGACTGGGATGCTCTGGGACTGGGAATCTGCAGGACTGGGATACTGCGGGACTAGGATGTGCGGGACTGGGATACTCTGGGACTGGGGAACTGTGGGACTGGGATGCTCTGGAACTGGAATACACTGTAACTGGAATACCCTGTAACTGGGATACACTGGAACTGGGATGCTCTGGGACCGGGATGCTCTGGAACTGGGATACACTGGAATTGGGATACACTGGGACTGGGATACTCTGGGACTTGGGAACTGTGGGACTGGGATGTTCTGGGACTGGGATGCTCTGGAATTGGGATGTTCTGGGACTGGGATACTGTGGAACTGGGATGCACTGGGATACACTGGGACTAGGGTACTCTGGGACTGGGATACGCTGGAACTGAGTTGCTGTGGGACTGGGATACACTGGGACTGGGGAACTGTGGCACTGGGATGCTCTGGAACTGGGGAACTGTGGCACTGGGATGCTCTGGGACTGGGATACACTGGAATTGGGATGCTCTGGAACTGGGATGCTGTGGGACTGGGATGTTTTGGGACTGGGATACACAGGAACTGTGGAACTGCGGGACTAGGATGCTCTGGAACCAGGATACACTGTAACTGGGATACACTGGGACTGGGATACTCTGGAACTGGGATGCTGTGGGACTAAGATGCTCTGGGACTGGGATGCTCTGGAATTGGGATACACTGGAACTGGGATACACTGGAATTGGGATACACTGGAACTGGGATACACTGGGACTAGGATACTCTGGAATTGGGATGCTCTGGGACTGGGATACTCTGGGACTGGGGAACAGTGGGACTGGGATGCTCTGGGACTGGGATGCTCTGGGACTGGGGAACTGTGGGACTGGGATGGACCAGACTGGGATACTCCGGGACTGGGATGTACAGAACTGGGATGCTGTGGGACTGGGATACACTGGAACTGGGATACACTGGGACTAGGATACTCTAGGACTGGGATGCTCTGGGACTGGTATGCTCTGTAACTGGGATGCTCTGGGACTGGGATGCTCTGGAACTGGGATGCTCTGGAATTGGGATACACTGGAACTGGGATGCTCTGGGACTGGGATGCTGTGGGACTGAGGTACCACAAAATTGGGATGATGTGGGACTGGGATGATGTGGATTTAGGATATACGGGACTGGGATGGACCAGACTGGGATACACTGGTACTGGGATGTATGGGACTGGGATGTTCTGGGACTGGAATACACTGGGACTGGGATGCTCTGGGACTGGGGAACTGTGGGACTGGGATACACTGGAACTGGGATGCTCTGGAACCGGGATACTCTGGGACTGGGATGCTCTGAAACTGGGACACACTGTAACTGGGATACACTGGAACTGGGATGCTGTGGGACCGGGATGCTCTGGGACTGGGATGAACGGGGTTGAGGATTTTGGCACCCCCCGGGATCTGGGGACCCCCCCGACCCCCGGCCAAGCCCTGGCACCATTTCCCACGGACACCCC